CCTGAGTCCCTGCCCCACCCAACTTGTGGGCCCACCCAAGCTGTTTCTAGTGGCTTTTCCATATGAATGGCTTGTCCTGGCTCATGCTTCAGACTGCCCTAAAATTTCTCAAACGAGTAGCATCAGGCCTCAGTGTGCACTGTACCTCTTGTGAAGTGGCCCCAGGCCTGGCACTAATGGCAGCTGACCTTGGTTTGCAGCTTGGTCTCTTCTGGGCACCTCTAAGCCCAGCATAAGTAATGGCCATCTGCAGATTGCTTTGTTGCTCATGCTGGGTGACCCTGGGCACAACACAGGTGGCAGCAGACCTTGGCCTGCACTTCCCAGAGGCCCCAGAGCCAATGCATCTGGTAGACAGCTTCAGACCACTTTTAGACCATGTCAAAGCATCACCAACCACCTCCACAAGCAACACACTCAAGGGGCAGACTCATCAGGCACCGAAGTCCTGCTGAAATAAGTCCTGCTAAATCGGGTCAGCCCCTACACAGCAGATCCTCCAGGGTGGTTGTAGTAAGTTCTTGTAGCCAGTTGGCTTGAGGGTATATCCCTTCCATTGACATGCCAACTCCAATTGGCAATCAAGGCTCAATTACAATAGGAGGGGGTACCAGCCCAAATGGGGGAACACACCTGGAGTGCCCAGCTCTGGTGAATGCAGAGGCTGTGCCACTGGACTCTACAGGACACCTACTACATAAGGCCACTTTACCAAGCCCTGGAGATAAACAGAGGGTATCTGCCAAAATGGGGAGACAAAGAAGCATGTCCCAAATGAAAGAAGAAAATTCCAGAAAAAGAACTAAATAAAATGGAGACAAGCAATCTACTAGATGCACAGTTCAGAACACTGGTTTTAAGGATGCTCAATGAACTTAGGGGAAGAGTAGATGAACTTAGTGAGAAACTCAACAAAGAGATAGGAAATATAAAAGTGGATCTAGAAAACATAAATAAAAACCACTCAGAAATGAAGAATACATTAACTGAAATAAAGAATACATTACAGGAAATCAACAGTGAAACAGAGGATCAAATCAGAGATTTTGATGGTAAGGAAGCAGAAAACACCCAATCAGAACAGCAAAAAGAATAAAAGAAATGAGGACAGTATAAGGAGCCTCTGGGACAACTTCAAAGGTACTACCATTTATATCATGGAGGTGCCTGGTGAAGGAAATAGACATACAAGTCCAGGAAGTGCTGAGAATCCCAAACAAGATGAATTTAAAGAAGCCCACACCAAAACACATCATAATTAAAATGCCAAAGGTTAAAGACAAAGAGAATCATAAAAGCAGCTAGAGAAAAGCAGTTATCTACAAGGGAGCTACCCTAAGACTGTCAGCTGATTTCTCAACAGAAACTTTGCAGGTCAGAAGGATTGGCAAGAAATATTCAAAGTGATGAAAAGGAAGGACCTACAACCAAGATTACTCTACCCAGCAAAACTATCATTTAGAATTAAAGGACATATGAAGACCTTCCCAGACAAGAAAAAGCTAAAGTTCATAACCACCAAACGAGCATTACATGAAATATTAAAGAGTCTTCTTTAAGATGAAAAACAGATTTAAAATATGAATAACAATATGGCAATAAATACATATCTATCAACAACTGAATCTAAAAAAACAAAATAAATGAACAAACAGAACAGAAACAGACTCATACATACAGAGAACATTTGATGGTTGCCAGATGGGAGGTGGGGTTAGAAGGATGGGTGGAAAAGGTGAAGGGATTAAAAAGTACAAATTGGTAGTTACAGAATAGTCACAGGCTGTAAAGTACAGCATAGGGAATGTAGTCAATAATATTGTAATAACTATGGATGGTGTTAGATGGGTTTGAGATTTTTCAGGATAATCACTTAGTAAGTTATATAATGTCTAATCACTGGGTTGCACACCCGAAACTAGTATAATATTGTATATCAACTGTAATTGAAAAGTAAAAAAATATTTAAAGTAAAAAAATAAATAAAATCAGCTGTAATAATTAAGATGTAGAAAAAAGTCTTTTATTTATGTATTTATCTGAGCATTATTTGTATATTTTGGGATTTATCAAAAAGGCAGGACAAATATTTTACTTCATTAGAATACATGGTACTAGTCTCCTAGAGGTCAACCGTTGCACTTTTTTAAGCAGTAGGAATAAGGGGCAAAAAACTAAGATTTAGAGCTACAATGCCTTTTTTACCTTAAAAAAGAGTTGACAATCAAATAAGTCATTAGAAAAATGCTGATGTATCTTCCAGGTTAACCTCATTCTGAATAAATAACATGTTTCATATTTTAAGAATAGATATTCATACAGTTAAAAATTTAAAATGCTTCAGTTAGAAAGTGCTTCTTATAGTACTATAATTTTAAAGTCAATGAGCCATTTAAATGTCTGAGAGAAATGATTATGTCATAGTATATTTATGATTAAATGTTACAAAAACTGGAACCCTAGAACTACTGCATAACCTCTCTCATGTCTTATATGGTCTAGCACTTTGCATTTCTAAAAAGTGCATTCACAGATAGACATCCATTCACTTCACAGCTCTATAAAATATATTTTACCCCAAACTGTGTGTATGTTTGTGTGCCGTGTGTGTATCCTACAGTCTGTAAGGGAAGTATTTCCCTTATACCAAAACCAGACAAAGACATCACAAGAACAGAAAAACTACAGACCAATATTGCTTATGAATAAAGATGCAAAATCCTTAACAAAATATGAGCAACCCAAACCAGCAACATATAAAAAGGATTATACACCATAATCAAGTGGGATTTATCCAGGATGAAAGGTTGGTTTAAATCTGAAAATCAATCAATGTAACACATTATGTTAGTGAAGGTTTAAAAAAAACTCACACCATACATTCTCCATAGAAACATAAAAATTTAACAAAATCCAAAACCCTTTCAAATAAAAATTTCAACAAACTAGAAATACAAGGGAGTTTCTCAACCTGATAAAAGCATCTGTGAAAAACCCACAGCAAACAGTCATCATACTTAATGGTGAAAGTCTGAAAGATTTCCTAAGATTAGGAACAAGACAAGGATGTCTCCTCTTTCCACTTTTATTTAACATTGTACTGGAAGTTCTAGCCACTGCAATCAGACAAGAAAAAAATATCCTAGTTGGTAAGGAAGAAGCAAAACTATCTCTATTTGTAGATGACATTATCTTATTCAGTGGTTCTCAACTTTCCTAATGCTGCGACCCTTTAATACAGTTCCTCATGTTGTGGTGACCCCCAACCATAAAATTATTTTTGTTGCTACTTGATAACTGTAATTTTGCTACTGTTATATCTTAGGCAACCCCTGTGAAAGGGTCGTTTGAACCCCCCAAAGAGGTCGTGACCCACAGGTTGAGAACTGCTGTCTTACATGTAAGAAACACTAAGGAATGCATTTAAAAATATTTATGCTAATAAGTGTGTTCAGCAAGGTTGTAGGCTATAAGATCAATATACAAAAATCAGTTGTACATCTATACACTAGCAATGAATAATCCATAACTGAAATTAAGAAAACCATTTTATGTATAAGAGCACCAAAACACTAGAATATATAGGAATACATTTTGAAAAAGGAGTATAAGACTTGTATGCTGAAAACTATAAAACATCACTGAAAGAGATTAAAGATGACTTACATAAATGGAAAGATATCCCATGTCCATGAATCAGAAGACTTAATATTGTTAAGATGGCAGTGCTCCCTAAATTGATCTCCAGAATCAATGCAAATCCTAACAAAATCCCAGCTGGCTCTCTCCTCTCCCCCAAAATTAACAAACTTAGCCCTAAGTTTATATAGAAATACAAGGGACCCTCAAATAACCAAAACCATCTTTTAAAAGAAGAAAAAAGTTAGATGACTCACTTTTCAATTTCAAAATTTACTCTAAAACAATAGTAACTGAGACAGTGTAGTACTGGCATAAGGATATATAGATCAATAATTGAAGGTTCAGAAATTAATCTTTGCCTTTATGGTTAGTTGATTCTACCCAAGGTACCACGGCACTTCAGTGAGGGAAAGAATAAGCTTTTCAACAAATGGTGTTAGGAAAACTGGATATCCATACACCAAAGAATGAAGTTGAACTCTTATTTCACACCATAAAGAAAAAATTCAAAATGGATCATAGACTTAATGTAAGCATTAAAACTATAAAATTCTTAGGAGAAAACATAGGAGGGAATCTTTGTGACCTTGGCTTAGTCAATGATTTCTTAGATATACTAAAAGCACAAGAGACAAAAGAAAAAAAAATAAAAGTAAAAATTGTGCTACAAATGATACCATCAAATAAGTGAAAAGATAATCCACAGAATGGGAGAAAATATTTGCAAATCAAAAACCTCATAAAGGCCTTGTATCTAGAATATACAATGAACTCTTATAATAAAAAGACAATCTGCCCGGCTAGTGTGGTTCAGGGGTTAAGTCAACCCATGCACCAAGAGATCACCGGTTCAATTCCCATTCAGGGCACATGCCCAGGCTGTTGGCCAAATACCGGGTGAGGGGCATGCAGGAGGCAGCCAGTTGATGTTCTCTCTCATCGATGTTTCTCTCTCTCTCCTTCTCCCTTCTTCTCTCTCTCCTTCTCCCTTCTTCTCTCTCTCCTTCTCCCTTCTTCTCTCTCTAAAATCAATAAAGAAAAAAAAAATTAAAAAAAAAAAAAGACAATTGCCCTGGCCAGTTTGGCTCAGCGGTTAGAGCGTCGGCCTGCGGTCCGGAGAGACCCGGGTTCGGTTCCCACTATGGGCACGTACTTCGGTTGCAGTTTGTCCCCGGCCCTGGTTGGTCGTGCGGGTGGCAGCCACTCGATGTGTCCCTTTCACGTCGATATTTCTCTCTCTCTCTCTTCCTCTCTCTCCCTCCCACTCTGTCTGTACAAAAAATGGAAAAATGTCCTCGGATGAGGATAAAAAAAAAAAAAGGCAAGGCATGCTTATATCAAGTTTACCTATTTCATACCTTTCTTTGGCTTCCTTTAGTGCATTTTCAAGTCTTTCCACCTTCTGGTTTCCTTCCCTTAGGCAAAGCAGGAGCTGGCTCACAGTTAATTCCTCAGATTCCAAATAATTTCTGGCACCTTCTGCAGATCTGCTCCTACATCAAGGCAGTATAGAGGTTAAAAGGTTTTCATCAGAAAACAGAAATGTGTAAGTCTAAGAATATAATTGGAGCCAACTTAAAGGAACTGCTTTCCAGAACAGTCTCCAAGCACAGCTGGCCCTGTGGCCCCCAGTGCTACAGGCCTCCTTGCTTTCCAGGGAAAATGGAGACTAATGAGTAGGCTCGCTTTACACTGCATGTGCTCACAACAGCAGACCACAGAAACCAAAGAAACAGCGGAGCAGGGTAGTCCTGGCTCCCAGTGCCCAGCTTCTCTAGAGAACTACTCTCAAAGAGGACCACAGTCAAAGTACACAGCATACATGCTGCCAGTGGTGACATGCAGGCCACCAGCCTGTCTCCAACTCGACAGAAACATCACCTTCTCGAGTTGAGAAGATATTCACATAATCAGGCTTGAGAATAATGGAACTGTTGGTAGGCACTGTTGGTATGTCAAATATTTTTCTTGATTTCAAAATATAACTAAATCAAGAGGCAGTTCAGTGACAAGCAAACAGAACCATGACCAATGCTACAACAACTAAACATTCCGGATGACTGCGCTAATGCTAACAGCAGCTACCCTTTCAGTAATCTACTCAATTCACCCATCTAATAAATAGCCAGGAGTAAATTCTGGTTCCCAACTCCTAAGCTCAAACTCCAAACCTAGAAATCAATCTCTGACTCCTTAATATGCTTTCAAACAGGATCAAGAAGCTACAATTAGAAAACAGCTGTGTGGCTTGAAAGAGGAAGTGGTCTGTGCATATGGACCTAAATGAGGAGTAAGTGGCCTGGAAATTTCAAACAGGCTTTCTTCCTTCCTACCACTTCCAGTCAAGTCTTCTGATATTTTTTTAAAAAAAAGCAATATGGGGAAAAACTGAAGACTTTCTAATTAAAAAAAGGGAATAACTTTCATTTATGCCAATTGCTCTGATTGAAGAAAGAATATTATCTACACTTATTTTCTCTCTTATACAAGTGCTTGGGAGCATAACAGAAAAACAACACCACCACCAACCCATTTTCATGTTTTATAAATACATTCATCAAGATATAAAAGAAAGATATTAAACGTCTATGAGAGAGGAATGGGGGACATCTGTAATACCCTCAACAATAAAGATAAATATATTTTTTAAAAAGTCTGTAAGGGAAGAGACCCTTAGAGAAACTTTCAGATAACTGTCTCTTTTAAGTAGAGGAATACAGCAATAACTGGCTTAGGAGGATGAGATGATAGCCCGCCTGGAGGAGTGCTATGTGCAAGAGTCTCAGGGGCCCAATCCTTCTACCATCTCCCCAAAGTTCCCCCACCAGTTACAAGGTCTGCTTCCTAGTAGGTACGTGGGGCAGGTCAACTTGACACTCTTCAGGAACCACCCAGAGACTCAGCAGTAACCATCATTGTTTTTTTTTTAATCCTCAACCGAGGAAATTTTTCCATTTTTTGTTCAGATAGAGCAGGAGGGAGAGAGAGGAAGAGAGAGAGAGAGAAACATCGATGTGAAAGGAACACATCGAGTGGCTGCCACCCGCACGACCAACCAGGGCCGGGGACAAACTGCAACCGAGGTACGTGCCCTTAGTGGGAACCGAACCCGGGTCTCTCTGTACCACAGGCCGACGCTCCAACCGCTGAGCCAAACCGGCCAGGGCACCATCATTGTTATAGAAGATTACCCAGTAGTAGTATTAGTCACCTTGGCTTGTACTCAGGAATGAGCAGGCCAGAGAAAATGGAAATATACCACTTATCAGGCTGGGCAGCCTGGTGCAGCTCCAACTGCATTGGTATGCAAATTAGGAAACTTAGGTCTTTTGATTGAGAACAAGGTTGCTTTCACTTTTTATCTGAAGGAGATGAAACACCTTGAGTGGTGAGGGTTAATCAGCCTGAAAAGGCATCAAACTTTGTTTTTAGTCTCTGCCAGTATTAGCTACAACATTAAATAGCGTTTAAACCAAACGTTCTTTAAAGATCCTAGTATAAATTAATAATAAGTGACTTTTTCAGCCCATGATGTTTGACCTCCCAGTGGGGACCTGGAAGTGACAAGACTGTCCAGTCTGCCTGTCCACAGCCCTGATCTTTCTTTACATACATGTCAGCGGAATCAATTCTTGTGAGCCCAGAACTCGTTTTGATTTCTTTCAATGCCACATCTGCTTCTCCTTCCTGTAGAAGCAGAGATGAAAGGGATTTAACACAATATGTCTATAAGACAAATCCTCTATCGAAAGATAAAAAGGCAAAAGATCAAGAATTTTGATGGCATGCAACCTAAGGAGCCTACCAAACATTTAAATGTGAGATGTTTACATTTGGTCATTCAAATGGAATGGAAATGTACCCTTCCCTCACCCAACATGCCCTGTCAGGATTATAAATATCTAGCCGAAGTTGGTCTTCTCTCATTCAGCACAGTCAATCTGACCGCATAATATGAAAGCTTATCTCCTGTTCTCCTTGGCAGTTCCCTTCTTTCCTAGTTTAAGGTCACATAGAGCTAGTGACAACTCCACATACCTTTCCTGTACAGTCCTTTAAAATGCAAAATGCTAGAGCTTGCTGAAGCAAAGCTAAGTTTTCTGCGAACAAGGCTCACAAAGCACAGTCAGCTCCTATTAGAAATCCTATTAATCTTGGGTCATTTAGGAAACAAGATTAAGACCCTTCAATGACTTGAAGGACATTTTTATTCTAATGAAGTAGCAGGCTAGTCTTCCAAAAATACACAAAGATATTCTGGATAGTTTTGATTGTGTACACTCTTCCTAAATCTTGGGCAGTGCTTTCCAATTCACAGAGGCAAGGCAAGGAAACCAGGTTTACACTAAAAATAACAGAACTTATATGCCTGTATGTGTAACCAATGGACATAGACAACAATGCTGGGGTGGGGTGGGGTGGGGTGGAGGACAGGGAGGAGGATGCCTGGGGGAAAAAAGAGAAACATCTGCAACAAAAATTAATAAAAATTAAAAAAAATCAATACAATAAAAAAAAGGAGACATTATCAAACAAAAAATAAAAATTGTTTAATGGGACATAAAAAATAAATAACTGTCATTTATCAGTGTTAACCATGCACCCTGGAGGCAGAAGACTTTTGGAAACTCTTCAAAAGTTCTTTGGACTTCCTGAATTTTATCAGTTATTTGCAGAAGGTTAATGCTCTTTGATCAAACTTGCATTTCATAATCTTTAGTCATTTGCAGAAAGGGTATTCTGGCAAAGTATGCTTTCAAAAAGTATTTTAATTCTCTTGATTTCAGTGACTTTTAATGCATCTAAAATGTACTAGGGGGCATGGATGGCAAGGTTTTTAAGAGCCATTCTCTACCTCTATCAATCTTCAGTGCAGCAAATGAACCAGAAAATAAGGAATGTCACACTCTAATATTTCAGACACATCAGTAGTTTAGCTTTTTGCAAACTGCCCTCATCCCCCCACCCTAGCTCCCCTTATCTACAAGGTACATTTTTCTCTTTCAGAGACACAATAAATTTCTTTTCCTTTATCAGACATGCACTTTGACAAAGCTAAAATAACAGTGTGTATGACAGGACTGGATCTTTGCGTGTTTTTTCCTTCTCTTCTTAGTCTCTTTTAGTAGCCAGGCAGAGGCCCCTCTGTGGTTCATCCACCTTTCAGTAGGACTGCCGCACACCCAGACCCAGCCGTGACAGGTGCTGCACATGTGCTTAGAACATGCCATCTTGCATAGCTCACTTCACTTTGAGGGCACATAAAAGAGAGTTTGACAGCACTGGCTTCACACTCTGTCCTCAGAGGTTCCCGAGTAGCTGCTGTTAGAGAAGTCGAGACAGCCCCTCCACCTACAACTACAGCAGCTCTGCTCCTGTTCTCCACTTCTTTTATTCTTTAAAAAAAGATATTTTTTATTTTGTTAATCCTCACCCGAGGATATTTTTTCATTTATTTATTTATTATTTTATTTTTTTCAGATAGAGTGGAAGGGAGGGAGGGAGAGAGAAACATTGATGTGAGAGAGACACATTGATTGGCTGCCTCCTGAACGACCCCAACTGGGGCCAGGGATGAACCTGCAACCCAGGTATGTGCCCTTGACCTGATTGGGAATCAAACCTGAGACGCTTCAATCCATGGACCTACATTCTAAATGCTGAGCCAAACTGGTCAGGCTTCCACCTCTTATTCATAAGTCCTTGTTTGAAAATGGGGTACTAATATTAAAAAGTGTTGTAAAGCCATTAGTTTACTGTATCTGATTATGATTCTGCTCACCTAAGTGAAATGCTGAACACAGCTTTGCGACCTGGTCTGAAAAAAATTTATGTTTTTTTTTTTTTTGCTTTTTAGGTCTGTCACACAATATCTGATTTGTGAGGATACTAGAAACAAGGACTAGCTATTTCATCATATAAGGTAACTGATGTTTTTCCATTTCAGCTATGATAATTCTTACAAACATCATTACACTTAAAAAACAAGAGCTAATTTACCTTTGCTACACTGAAATTTCCCCACTAAGTGGCTTCTCTATGTTGAAAAAGAAACGGTGGCATTTGTATCAAATTTGCTTAACACAAAATCAAAATACTTACAGCCATCCGTATTTCAACAAAGGAGTCTTCAGAGGGGCCACCTGAGCTCAGCTTGAGTTGTAACTCAGACACAATGCCCAGCAGATCTGCCTTTTCGGCTTGAAGTCGTGATACTTGGGTTTTCAGCTGTTCCATTTCCTGATCTGCTTCTGCTTTGGGGACCTTGGGGTCCCCAGTGGAGTCCTGGAAATGAGGAGGAGAAAAGCAAATTAATGAATTAAACTAAGGCCCCAGCATCAAACTCGAGTGCCACAAACCCACTGGCAAGGCAGTTTCTCAACATCTTCGTCCCCTGTGCTTTACAGTAGAAAATTCTCAATTTTCCTTGTCAATTTATTTTGATATAATGTTTAAAATAAACATTTTTACATTATTTTATTGTATTCAAATAATAAAAAACATGGAAATAACCTCATGACAAGAAAGACATGCTTCCTCAGCATGCTAGGATAATCTGGTATCATGAAAATAAACAACCAGCATGGAGACTTGACTCGAGGTGGTGAACACACAATACAGTGTACAGATCATATGTTGTGGAATTGTGTATCTGTATAATTTTGTATACTTGAAACCTGTATAATTTTGTTAACCAGTGTCATCCCAATAAATTAAAAAAAAAAAAGCGATTTTCCAATAACTGCTTAATGCTTTATTTTTAAATTGATTTTAGAGAGGGGGGGGAGAGAGAGAGAGAAATATTGATTTGAAAGAGAAACATCAATCACCCCAACCAGGGATTGAGCATGCAACCTAGCATGTGCCTGACTGGGAATGGAACCTGCCACCTTTAGGTGTACAGGATCATGCTCCAACCGAGCCACCCAGCCAGGGTGCTTTCGCAGTATATTAAAACGCACACACACACACACACACACACACAGACAACAACCAGACTTTGCCAATGGCAGAATTATAACTTATAGTCCAAAAATACCAGAAAATAAGGACAAAAAGCTGCCACAACTTAACTTCTTGCCCACCCCCCTCCACATTCAGTAATTGCAATGGAATGAACATAACATGCAACTCAACCTCTTGTTTCTACCCCCCTCCCCCAACAAATGTATGCCCATCCCACTCTCCCCATACCTGTCATGTCTCTACTCAGAAAGCAAAGCACCAAGGACATCACTTGGTACAGTAATGGCAAAAACACAATGAAAGGTTCAAAATTCTCCCAGGAATGTAGTCTGGGTACTATAATACTCTGTGTTGTTGTTTTAACATTGTTAAACGTAAGTCTGGGGATAAATAAGCAAACTGAAAATTCAGAGGCTAGAAACGAAAGAAAAAAATTAAATTTCAGCTTCTATACACATTAATAATAAACATTAATATGTCACTAATGTCAAGTGCATATTGTGTTCATCCCATTGCAATTACTGAATGTGACAAAGTCAGAGAAGCAAGACCCTGCTGAGCTGCGGTGCTTTACTCGGGAGCTGATCAGTGAATGTGTTGCCTTGAGTAGATTTGCTTCGTGTCTGGCCTCAGTTTTCTTGAGTTAGAAAGAAAGACACAGTACCACATGGTTTCTGTGGTCTCTGCCAGCTGTGACCTCCTCGACCTCTCTGATCTCCTCCTCAGGAAACCTACACTGTTCTGTGGGCATGGCATCACCTTAAATACAAACACTTGAGATTATCTGAGGATGAAAATTGACAAGTACACACACACACACACACATCCTCTGTGATAAATTTCCTAAGGAGTGGTAAACAGATCCAAAGGCTCACAGTGGAACCAAAAAGTATCAGAAGGGCATGTGCCTGTACCATAAACCAGCTTGTCCATGAAATATTAAAAAGCACAGTAGGCAGGGGCCCCTCCCACCATCCAGATCATCATGGTCGTCTTCATCTGGAGCAGGCCCCTGCTAGGAATCTACTTAGAGAAAAGCAACTTATTGTGAAATGAAGTTAGGTGTACAAGGAAAGGTTAAAAGCGTGTGCTGTCTCTTTTAGTAATGACTCACACCAAGGAAACATACACGTAAAGGAATAAACACACATAAGGAAAGGTACTGCTCAGCCTGGAATCAGGAGTAAGTAGGTGAGGGCAAGATTATGCCCCGTTAGGAGTCTTCACATTTACCCACCTGACCTCTCGGGGGACATTTTATTTTATTTTATTTTTTTATTTTTATTTTTTTATCCTCACCCAAGGATATTTTTCCATTTTTTATACAGATAGAGTGGGAGGGAGAGAGAGGAACAGAGAGAGAGAGAGAAACATCGACGTGAAGGGACACATCGAGTGGCTGCCACCCGCACGACCAACCAGGGCCGGGGACAAACTGCAACCAAGGTACGCGCCCTTAGCGGGAACCAAACCCGGGTCTCTCCGGACCGCAGGCCGACGCTCTAACCGCTGAGCCAAACTGGCCAGGGCTCGGGGGACATTTTATAGAATGGATTTTTAAAAACTATCTTGGCATAAAGGTAAGAAATCATTTTGTTTTCTTTTTTTAAAGGAGCTTCTAAAGCTTTATTTGAATTTTCTGTCTCCATATAAGTATGTTCTTGGAAAGAGAGTTTTAAGCATGTGTCTGAGGACCAGGGATGGCCATGACACCATCTCAGACTGTCAGGTTCATTGTTTTTTCCACAATTGTGAGCATCTCTTAACTCTCCTTGGGAAATTATGAATCTTCTTATTTGTCCATACACCCCTTGTAGGATAACACTTGTAGGATAAAATGGAGTTTCTCTCCATGTTAACATTGAGTGTCTTCATTACCTAGACTAGAACGCCCGTGGTTCAGTCTCCCCACTCTCAACTCCCATTCCACTATTTGTTATGCTGTCATCACTTTTGAGCACTTACCATTGACCTTTGTGTGACAGCAGCTTCTAGGTCTTTCTGTATATTTGTGTAATGTCTCTATCCTACTGTCCTGGTGATGTATGCAGGTTGATAAGCCTTTTTATAATCCAAGAAGAAAAGTCTATCTAATGACCTTTGCCTAGCAATCTGCAATTAAAAGTTAAAAAGTATTCTTTAGAGACATTATAATGTATAATTCAGTGAAACAGGACAGAGCCATTAATGCCTCAACCTCACATGGAGGATGGAAGGCAGCTCTCTGAAGGAAATTCCCAACTCCCTGGCCTTGTGTGGCACAGAAGGCATGAGAAGCCCTGGTGGCCTGAGGGACATTTCCTGTAGAAAGGGCAGCAAAGGTAGGCCAGCATGAGTGAGACACGCCCAAGGCCTGAAGAACTCTACTAAGCTAGGAAGATGACGGCCTAAGGTTTAAAAATCATCTCAAATGATCCATGAAACAAAAATTAAGGAAGAGACAGGCAGACAGGAATGGGCCTGGGAGGCACAGTTTGAGGGAGAAAGCTGATGACCAAGGGTCTTAATGAGCCGTAAGTGTCTCTTTGCCCCCAAACACTCAAGTCCTTTGTCCCAAGAACTCGTTTCTGAATCCTGCTTATAGCTTGCTTCAACTTAACATCTGCATTGAAAGAAGCTTTCTAGAGCTTTGGCTTCTGATCTCAACTTCTTTCAATACTGGGACATGTAGGAAAACCTATAGGCAGACTATCTCAGACAGACAAACTGCTTCTGGAAGCTTCCTTTTTGTCTTCAATGTGATAGGCTCCAACTGGCTGAAGCCAGCTGCTAGCTCACATCCCAAAAGCCAAGGGAACTATCTATAAGATATTTTGTTCCAGAGAATAGAAAATTACTCTTGTATCCCAGGTGGTCATTTCAGAGTACTGTACCTCAAAAATATTTGGCCAATGAGAGACTGCCCCCAGAAAAGTGACTTAATACTCTTGGAACTGTAAGATACACTGAAGAGGTGATAAACCCTATCAACAGTGAAATATTTCCAGTACAAATATAAATGTATTAAAGCTGAATGTTTCCATTGTCTCATGAGCACGAGCTGATGCATAGATCATTGATATAAACTATATTTTTGTAAACAACTTTTCATTCTTTAGATTATCCAATATCACCCCTTTTTCATTATTTTCTTTCTGCTTTATTTGTCTGCATTCTTTACCCATTTAAGAAATTAAACATAATTAAAAGTAAAGTCTCAAGAAAAGTCACTGATATCAGGATTACATCCTCCCTTATTCAACCCAGTGCTCCAGCTTCCAAAGGGCTGTTAAGTTGCAGGTTTGGACAGCAGATGTCACCTTAACAAACAATACTCTGAGCTTTAGAGTGTGGGCAGAAGAGACGGCACATGTGTCTGATTTGTATATTCACTAATACCGACATCCACTCTTGGTTGTGAGTGTATTTCCCAGGTTCTTTGGGTTAATGAAAACATGGCAACCCGATATAACCTCCTATCACAACATGACATTTGTCAAACTATTTTTCAGAAGTAAATGTAAAATGTAAAGCGAAGAATCTGTTTTAAACTGAGAGGAAGGATGGTCAGTAAGTAAAAATTCTGAATAACAGTAAATTTTAAAAATGTAATTTTAGCTCTGGCCAGTTTGGCTCAGAGGACCAGAGAGTCCGGGGTTCGGTTCCTGCTAGGGGCATGTACCTCCATTGCAGTTCGTCCCTGGCCCTGGCTGGGGTTGTGTGGGTGGCAACCAGCTGATGTGTCTCTCTGACATCGACGTTTCTCTCTCTCTCTTCTCCCTCTTGCTCTATATGAAGATAAATGCAAAAATGTCCTTGGGTGAGAATAAAAATAAAATAGCCCTGGCCAGTTTGGCTCAGCAGTTAGAGCATCAGCCTGCGGTCCAGAGAGACCCAGGTTTGGTTCCTGCTAAGGGTATGTACCTCGGTTGCAGTTTGTCCCTGGCCCTGGTTGGGTTGTGCAAGTGGCAGCCACTCGATGTGTCCCTTTCACGTTGATGTTTCTCTCTCTCTCTCTCTCTTCCTCTCTCTCCCTTCTGCTCTATCTGAATAAAAAATGGAAAAATGTCCTTGAGTGAAGATAAAAAAAAAAAATGTAATTTTAGCCCAGTCAGTGTGGCTCAGTAGATTGAGCATCGTCCCACGGACTGAGAGGTCCTGGTTCGATTCCCCGTCAGGGCACATGCCCGGTTGTGGGCTCGATCCCCAGTGGGGGCATGTAGGAGGCAGCAGATCAATGTTTCTCTCTCACATCAATGTTTTTGTCTCCCTCCCTTCCTCTCTCTCTAAAACAATCAATAAAATATATTTTAAAAATATAATTTTATATCAAAGACATACACCAAAACTAACACTTGCCCTATTCTAGACAGAGGTCCTTCTGCTCTGTCTATAATGAATACAGAATAATGATTTATAACCTCAAAATTCTTCTGACTAAAATCAATATGGCCAAAGCTTTACAAATTTCTTTCCCCAAAAGAGATTATTCATGACCTTTAAAATTGCAACCAATCTTCTCAGCACGAACACTTCTTTCAAAATAATGCAAAACACCCATCTAACCTGAACCATGAAAGGGTTTGATCTTCAAACCCTAGACAAATGAGATTCCACTACAAATATTAATAAAATAAAATCACAACTAATCAATCTGCTCACCTCAAATGACCTTTCTGTTTTCCCTTTTAGTTTTCCAAGTTCTTCCTTTAATTTTTCATTTTCATGACTCAGAGCCATAAGGTGCTCTTTGGCTTCTTTGCTCTGGCTCTCAAAAAAAAGGCGTTCTTCCTTCTGTTTCTCTGTCCAGGCTGAGAGCTCCTGAAATCGCCCTTTCATAGCTTGGTTATTTAACTTCATGGCTTCTGTATAGGGTTCAGAGGGAGGGTATCACACAACAAGGGACTATACTTGATTTAATGAATCAAACTGCCCCTCAAACCACTTCACTGTGAGGCTCTGAATCTGAAGATGTCATGTTGGGCCTGGGCCCAAGTGTCAGCCAGAAAAAGACTGTAGCAAGAGGAGTACTTTTTGCTTCCAGACAGAACTTGCAGGTCTAATGTTATTTCTAGTCCTCAAGTCTCAAGAAAGTAAAATTGATTTGGGTACCTCCATATAGCACAAATATCTACAAATAACTATACAGACTAATGTCTGTGACTACTAGATTCAAATACTGGGCCCGCCAAAGGCCATGGCTTGATATTAGAATGCTTTCTCTTAACAAGGTCATATTTAGGACTAACTGAAATAATAGCAGCCTTTCTTTCTTTTTCCTTTTAAATAGGCTAAATGTCTTCATGTCATTGCCCTGAGATACAAAAAATACTTTTTATTCTGACCTGTACCCCAAAGTAAATAATGGAAACAGTTTTAGCCTTACTAAACACTAAATTCTGTGCTCTATCTGCCCCCAGGGAACCAGATAGAGAACAGGGAGTTCACCTACAAGCCTTATTACAAAGGGATTAGGTTCAGGAAGGCCCGGGATGAATAGAGAAACACAGGGGCCAGGTGCTGCTCACCTTTCAGTTGGTGATTCTCAATCAGGAGTTCTTTCAGTTGCTGCAGCAGCTCCTCTGGGGTAAAAGTGTTCAGGTTTGGGTGAGCCAGATTGGGGGGTCCATTTCCTGTGGTTTCATTGGGGCTGTCCCCCTTTTCAGTCAGGCAGTTAAGTGGTTGGTAGGACATGGCAGCAGTTCCTATGGAAAAGTTACAAACAAAAATAGCTGTCTCCCCTCTGCAAGGGGTCCCCATGAGTCTCCCAAATCCATTAGCAATTGCTAATAAGTATTCCAAGAGTCGCCTACTCTCTCTCCAATTATGTTTGAACATTTACGATTCTTCCTTTTAAATAAAAAGATATATCCTAGCTTCAGTGTGCATGTGTGTGCACGTATATGTCTGGGTATATGGGTATGTAGGGGTGCAGTGAGGAGCTGGGGTATGGAAGAGGAAAAGTGGGCATAGCATCATGAGGATTGGGATCCTAACACAAGTCATGCAAGAGGGTTTCCATATATATATTTTTAGACATGGGCAAAGTATTGTTAAATTGATTTCCCTGTGCAAATCTTTAAACCCAAATCTCCATACTTTGGGTGAATTGTATGGTATATGAATTATATCTCAATAAATCTATTCATAATCTTCATATTTTGTTTCTTATATTTTTGACTAAGAAGAAAGGGGGGACTAACATATTTTGGATGCTTTCTATGGTCCTGAATCACTGCACCACAGATGCCAGTTTCTAATCCTCACTGAAACTCAACTATATATCTCTTTTACAGGGGACGAAGTGGGGTTCACTGAGGTTTCATAGCTCAGCCAAGGGCACATAACAAGAGGCACAACAAAGTTATCAGGTATGATTCTAAACCCAGACCTGTAATATGATAAAGGTATGACTAAATATTTAGGCTTCAGTATTCGACAGTTTTGCAAAGCACACTAAAAAGACTAGAAACCCTTGCCTAATTATTGCATATTCTAAGACTGTTTTAAGCATACCACTTTATTCTGTAGAGGGGTCAAAGTGGACATAAATAAGAGAAAGTGTATCCCAACTCTACCTCTATATGGCCTACCACCTGGGCAAACACAGAAATCTCTTCTAATGACTGGCTATATGCTATAGGCAAACATTTTCTTTTTCATACTCCATGAAGGTGATAAGCCTTTTCATGAAGAACTGCAGAGTCAGCAAATCAGTCACCGGAAGCTGAGGAGAGAGATGGGCACTATCTGACCTATCACTGTATCACAACATCTACGATACTGTCAAGTGTCCATATAATAAAATATAACTACACACATGGAGTGCAGGACAGTGCTTCTTCCCAATCCAACAGGAGGTGATACCTGGACTCTCTGGAGGTCCCTTGGAACTGAGAGGCTGGCAACTGGCCTTTGGTCTGAAGGAAGTTGTATGTATCAGAGATGGTGCTACTACTGACAGGACAGTAGTCCCCAGGACACTATCACTTTTAGGACTCCTCCCTGGGATAGCCAGCACAAGGAAAGGCATTCAAATGAAATTCTTTAATGAGGCTGGCAATTTCTGGAGGTAGAAAACACTGATAAAGCATAATATTCAACTGTGAGCCTTTAGAAGGCATCTAGTTTTACACATCCTAATTCATTTAGAAAAGAGGAATAACACTGAAGTGTGCTCTCTCTTGGCATCAGGTGACTTCATGGACTGGTTTTGTTTTCCCCAATAAAATAATCTGCATTATTGTGCATAAACTAATTTGGATAAAAATAATCTGAATAATGCGAGTTTTTCTGGCTTTCTATAAAGTTAATTTTTGCACAGAATGTTGGTGCTAACATTTCATAAAAATGAGTTTTTACTTAGTTACAGTGTTCCCATTTCTTTTGCAGAGGAATATTATATTCAAGGTAATAGACCTAAAGATAAAATCCTTGTAATATATATCACTTACTTGTCCGCATTAAATGTTCTCAGGTAGTCAATGATTGTATAATTAAAAAGTAAATGGAGCCCTGGCCGGTTTGGCTCAGCGGTTAGAGAATGGGCCCACGGACCATAGAGATCCAAGTTTGGTTCCCGCTAGGGGCATGTACCTCAGATGCAGTTTGTCCTGGGCCCTGGTTAGGGTTGTGTGCATGGCAACCACTCAATGTGTCTCTCTCACGTCGATGTCTCTCTCTCTCTCTCTCTCTCTCTTCCTCCCTCCCTCCCTCCCACTCTATCTGAAGATAAATGCAAAAATGTCCTTGGGTGAGGATAAAAAATAAATAAATTTAAAATAAAGTATAAAAAAAAAAGTAAATGAAAACATTTAACAGATATATATTTTTAAAAAGTGTCTAAGCAGCCCTGTCCAGTTTTGCTCAGTGGTTAGAGCGTCAGCCCTCGGACCAAAGAGTCAAGGGTTCAATTCCAATCAAGGGTACAGACCTTGGTTGCGGTTCAGTCCCCAGCCCTGGTTGGGGTCATGCAGCATGCAACCAGTCAGTGTGTCTCTCCTACTACATCAATGTTTCTCTCTCTCTCTCCCCCTCCTCCCACTCTGTCTGAAAAATAGATGGAAAAATATCCTTAGGTGAGGATTTAAAAATAAATAAGTAAAATAAAATAAAATAAAATAAAATAAAAGTATTTAAGCAGATATCTGTAGATGGGTTTGGTTTCATTTTATTATATGTACACATTTCTCCTTAATGTTTTTTCCAAGAGAGGAGAAAGAGAAAGAAAGGAATGGAGAGGAGTGGGGAGGGGAGGAAAGACAAGAGAAGGGAGGAAAGGGAAGGAAGAAAGAAGAAAGATTTTCTTTTGAAAATCGGGCAGATATTTCTTCCTTCTTGATTTTCCTTTATACCTCCACCAAGTTTTTAGATACAACTATAACAAAGTTAAAGTGGTTCTAGTTGTTTAATCGGTGCTTCTCACTTTTTCAGGTTGCCCAGACTTTATAAGAATAAGGAAAAAAAAGTAGGGTTATACTAAGGAAGACAGTAGGAAAAATACTGGGTGCACTAACCAGATGTGTGACCTTCAGAAGTCATCAGGCCTCTTGCTATGGTGTATTGACTTGTCTAGCAAATGATGATGATTATGGTTGGTTTCAGCTTAAAAAAAGTCTTCTTAAGCTTCTAGCAAGATCACTGGTCAACCTACACTGTTCAACACATGCACCCTAACACCCTCATGGTAGTGCCATCTCCTCTGTCCTAGTTATAGTAAACTCTTTGTTATCCAGCATTGTTAGGAAAATTTATTTAGTAATGCAAATGTCATAGTAAATAAAAAGTTAGCATCTATGCTGAACATATGCATGTAAAAACCAAAACTAAAAAGCATGTAAATTATTACCAAATTTTTACTAAAAGCAATTTAATCAATTTTGGTGACTCAAAGGGCACTTTATGGTTTTAGAATGTTTGGAGGGCCTCATTAGGAGTTATCACAGTACAGTGCGTATGGGAAACATCTGCTGGTGAAGCTGAATTCTCTGTTTTTAACATTACCTTGAGCTCTTTCGTTAAGCAGACACAGAAATGCATTAGAAATCCTTGCACACATCTTCAAAGGTTACAAAATTTGGAACTAAGCCATTTATTCCAAGATTTTACCTAATAACAGAATTTCTCATGAAAGGCCAATTAATCTAGATCCTAAATGTGTCATTTCTAAGCAAAGGTGATATTTAACTACAAAAGGGTAAATTCATTTAGCACAGAATTTGTCAAGATTTTGCCAAAGAGAAAGAATGAGAACTAGTTGGAAGGTAAAAGATTCAAAGCAAAATCTCCAAGACTTAATTCCCAGATCTGCTATTTGAACTCCTGGTTATATATTTTTATCGTTCTTAATTCCAGAGGTCAAGTAATTATAGCAATGACTTGACTTTATAGGCATGAGCTTAAATCTTATTCCTGAGTTGGCCTTAAAAATGATCCAGTCCAACTCCTTTATTCAATGCAAGAATGTCTCACCTAGTTTCCATGACAGATGGTCATAGAGATCAGGCTTGAATGACTTCAATGATAGAAAATATGAGCAATGACCTTAGCAGACAACAGGATGACTCTGATGATCAGAAAGTCATTTAGAAATGTCTTATACTGACTTCCACCCATTGGACATTGGACCAGTAGGCATAATACAGAATAAACCCAGGCCCCAGCCCTGGTGTGGCTGATTCTCCAGATTTGCTGATTAAGTATTCATAGGTTCAATTCCCAAGTGGATAAATTTGCTTCTTTTTTTTTTTAATTGAATTTATTGGGGTAACACTGGTTAACTAAATTATACTGGTTTTAGGTGCACAATTCTACAACATATCTGTACACCTACTAGTCTTCTACGGTTCTATGGCGTGCACTTCCAGATTCTTAAACTCAACTTTAAAAACTTATTTTGAAAACTAGTGCTGTTTTTTATATCACTACAAGGGTATCTGGATGTCATTTCATAACACATATTCTGTTATTCAATCCTCATACACACGTCAAAGTGAAAACAATGAAAACTTTTAATATAACTCTTTTCTTTCTGAATGAATAGATCTTTTCAAAAAACAGAGTTTAACTTTTTCCTTTGGATTTACTATTCCATAGATTCCAAAGAATAAATCGAATAGTCCAAGTCTCTAAAATTCACAAAAAAGCAGGGTTTAACCATGTGCTTCTATTTGAGCGGGTTTTGTGGGGAGGTCCATAGGAAGGTAATACAGTGACCAATTCCTTTTAAGAATAAAGCTTGTTTTGCTTTTTGGAAGGTTTAGTTGGATTCCATAGCATAAGACACAACTTGAAATCAATTACAAAGAAAAAAGATACTAATTTTATAATGTTGTTCACAATATATAAAGAATACTTAGCCCTGGCCAGTTTGGCGCAATGGTTAGAGTGTCGGCCTGTGGACCAGAGAGACCTAGGTTCGGTTCCTGCTAAGGGCATGTACCTCGGTTGCAGTTTGACTCTGGCCCCAGTTGGGGTCATGTGAGTGGCAGCCAGTCAATGTGTCTCTCTCACATCAATGTTTCTCTTTCTCTCTTCCTCCCTCTCTCCCTCCCACTCTATCTGAAGATAAATGCAAAAAGATGTCCTCAGGTGAGGATAAAAAAATAATAATTAAAAAAAAAAGAATACTTAAACTGGCCTAGTAGAAAAAGAGATCAGTTACCCCCAAAGACTCTGTCCTCTCTCTACCAACTACATTTAAACTTTACTTGCTTAGTCCATTCCAGGGAAGTCTCTGGCCTTGACCTCTGCTCCAGGATCCCTCCAGCCCACTACAAACTGGGCACATCCTGGGGGTTAGCCAGGGCCCCCTAGGCAAAGAGCAAGGTGTATGTCTGGGGGTTAGTGGGACAGTTCTCCTAAATGCTGCTTGCTCAGATCTGAGGCTCCTGATGTCCTAACACCACCTTACTGTTCTAAGGCTTTCCTTTCCCATGTCATCTATAAACAGCTCTGTGGCATAAATTTCCACACAACAATTATCCTGGTGAGGTGGCAGACCAGAACCTGGGTTTCATTTTCTCTTACTGATGTTGACTGCTTACACATTTACGACAGTAAAAACAATTCCTCAGCCTCATAAATATTCATATTCTCACATTCTCTCTCTCACTTTCTCTTTCTGTCTCCCCCTGTTCTCTCAGATAGCTTTAAAGATTCCCTTCAGCCCTGGCTGGTTTGGCTCGGTGGTTGGAGCATCGGCCTGCGGTCCAGAGCCCCAGGTTCAGTTCCCGCTGAGGGCATGTACCTCGGCTGCAGTTTGTTACCAGCCCTGGTTGGGTCGTGCGGGAGGCAGCCACTCAGTGTGTCCCTTTCACACTGATGTTTCGCGCTCTCTCTCTCTTCCTCTCGCCCTCCCTTAGGGAGAGGTCACTTATTCTTTAGTGTTCCTGGGCCATCTCATAAAGCTAGAGTACATTTTAGGTTGCATGTCTTCAAAAAGTGTTTATGTGGAACTGGCTGTATATAATCATTCCCAACCTGAGGGAGGGTGTCAACCTTAAACCACCTTGGTGACCTGCAAAGTAAGTCACCTGCAGTTTGCTAGGCCAGTAAAAAGGGGGGAAGGGCGCTTTGGGACGGCAGCCCCCTCTGCCCTTTCCCTTTAGATCAGGATCTGCCAGGACCTGGAAACCCTCCCACCGGGGGGGACACCCCACCCCTCGCCACCCCCCGCCCCCTACTGGCTCAGGGTCGCAGGGAAGGGGGCTGCGGGAACAGCTTCCTGGGCAGAGGAGGTGCCACCGCCTCTCCCAGCCTTGCCCACCCTCTGCCCCAGCTCACCCTGCGCCCGCACTCTCGCCTCACTCCTGGTCACTGCTTCCCCCGCATTGTGCCTGCTGGGAGAGCGGAACTCTGGACCCGGATGCAGACGCCGCCCAGGAGACGCGCTGGGGCTAGGGGAGCCCGGGTCAGACAGGCAACCACGCAGCCCCACCCAGCGGCGCTCAGCTGACCGTGGCGTGGGCCTCCCCTCCTCTGCCGGGGAATTTGCCGATCCGCCTCTCCGCAGGCCCCGCCCCCTCAAAACTCCGCCCTTTTTTTTCCCCCTGGCGCAGACCTGCAGCGAGCCAGCTGTGCCGCTCAGGCTGGGTCTGGGCGGGGAACCCGGGACAATGAGGGCTGCGCCTAGGTGTAAATCTGACGTTAACTAAAAATAAATTACTAATTAAATCAGGTATGCGGAGTCGGTCCTCCCTGTGGGGGTGGGGGTAGGTAAGGCCAGATATACAGGGGGTTGCTGCATCCCATGGAAAGAGGAGAATGGTCTCAGGAATCCTTGGAAAGAGGCTTCATCTCCGTTAAAAGTCTTACATCTGGAGTCCCCTTTTCTCCACACCCTGCCAGCACTTGTTTGAGGATTTGTTGATGGCTGCCATTCTGACAGGTGTGAGGTGATACCTTATAGTTGTTTTATTATCCTCACTGGAGACATTTTTTTGCATTTAACTTCAGATAAAGCAGGAGGGAGGGGGGAAGAGAGAGAGAGAGAAACATCGATGTGAAAGGGACACATCAACTGGTTGCCACCCACACTACCTCAGCTGGGGCCAGGGACAGCTGCAACCGAGGTCCAGTGCCCTTAGCAGGAACCAAACTCGGGACTCTCTGGTCTGCAGGCCGACACACTAACTGCTGAGCCAAACTGGCCAGGGCCCTCATAGTTGTTTTAATTTCTATCTCTCTGATGATTAGTGACACAGAGCATGTTTTCATATATCTCTTGGCCATTTGTATGTCCTCTTTGGAGAGGTATCTATTTAGATCCTCTGCCCATTTTTTAAATTGGATTGTCTTCCTTTTGTTGAGTTAATGAGTACTTGATATATTTTGGATATTAACCCCTTATCCAGTGTATCATTGGCAAATAATGTTCTCTCATAGAGTGGGTTCCCTTACACTGCTAATGGGAATGCAGACTGGTGCAGCCACTATGGAAAACGATATGGAGTTTCCTCAAAATATTAAAAATGGAACTGCCACCCTGGCCGGTTTGGCTCAGCAGTTAGAGTGTTGGTCTGCGGTCCAGAGAGACCTGGGTTCGGTTCCCGCTAAGGGCGTGTACCTCGGTAGCAGTTTGTCCCTAGCCCTGGTTGGTCATGCGGGTGGCAGCCACTCGATGTGTCCCTTTCACGGCGATGTTTCCCTCTCTCTCTCTCTCTCTGTCTCTCTCTCCCTCCCACTCTATCTGAACAAAAAATGGAACTGCCATTTGATCTAGTGATCTTGGGACAGGCCAGTAAGCCAGGACAAGTGGAACAGAGAAACAGACAGATCGCTGAACAAACTGACAGAGCAATTTATAGTGTATATAGAAGCTCACCTTCCTAGAAATAACATGTAGGTCTCAGTTATATTTCAGTTCCAGACCCAGAAGAGCAGCAAAACCAGGTAGACAACACCAGAACCAGCTGCATTGACTAGCAACCCCCTGCCCTGACACTGACCAATCAGTGAAGACCAAGAGCCTGAAGGAGCACACCTAGAAAACTGATGAATATTCTGTTGAAACTCCCCTGAGGCCACCCCTAAGATTCCTGCCTGCAAGAGAAAAATAAAAGCCTCAAGACAAAGGACCCCGGGCTTCCTCTCCTTCCCGGGAGCACACCCATTCCCACCACCCTTTTTTTGCCCCACTGGCATGCATCTCCCAGACTCTAAGAGACCCCACAAGGCTTGCAACCAGGGCAGCAATTGGCAATGGTAGTTCATCCCAGGCAAACCCCTTAAACCCGTCCCCAAGGCCCCCTTTTCTCTGACTTCTTAAGCGAGCTGAAGCAGACCAGCCTAGGCTCATTTCCCAGCCCTTTGTTGTTTCACTATTCCCAGCTTTAATAACCATGCTCTAAAATTCACCTGAACTCATGCTGTGAAAATTTTCCTCCATCAAGTCAAGAACCCACACACTACTGTCCTGGCCCTAGGCAGACCCACTCAGGGCCAGGTCCCCTTTCCAGTAACAATCCCACTACTAAGAATATATCCTAAGAAGCCTGAAACATCAATCAGAAAGAATATATGCACCCCTATGTTCATAGCAGCTCTATTTACAGTAGCAAAGATCTGGAAACAGCCAAAGTGCCCATTGGTAGATGAGTGGATAAAAAAGCTATGGTACATGCACATAATGGAATACTATGCAGCTGTACGAAAGAAAGGTCTCTTGTCTTTTGAGACAACATGGAGGGACCTGGAGAACATTGTGCTAAGTGAAATAGGACAGAGAAAAACAAGTATCACATAATCTCACTTATTTGTGGAATATAATGAACACAATAAACTCTCAAACAAAATAGATCCAGAGACATGGAAGTAGGGAACAGACTGACAAACCTCAGAGGGAAGGGGGGTGGAGGAGTGAGAAGAGAAAAACCAAAGAACTTATATGCATATAAGCATAACTGATGGACACAGACAACAATGCAGTGAAGGGGGAGTTGGGAGCAGGGAGGGGGTGTCAATGGGGGAAAAAAAGGAGGGACATATGTAATACTTCCAACAACAAAGATCTATTTTTTGTCTTACATTTGGATATAGTTAACTGAGCATGGGTGGCTCTCCACCTGATTTTGCCCTTAAAATATACTTTAATTTAAAAACAAAGAGCCTGCAGGATGCCAGTTGGGCTCTTGGTCCTAGAGAGCAGGCCAAATTTGACCCTGTATGCTTCAGCTGCCCCAAGTAGGGGGTTACTAGATTGACCTGGATTGTACTTGGGAAGCAGGAGTATTGATCTGCTGGACCAGAGGAGGGAAGATGCCTCCACATTAGACAGATATAAGAGAGATGAAACAAGACGAGGAAGGAGAGGAAGTGCTCTAGTTTGCATCCTAAGGTCTGTGAGCCATGAGGAACAAGGAGGGGGTCACAGGACACAGAAGGCATCTGATCATGTGGTCAAGGTCTAGGCCAACATGGTGTGGTAGGTGCACCCAGCAGGCAACAGAACCCTCAAACAAGACAAGAAAACAGAACTCAGGGCAGGGTCCCATGTGGTCTGAGAGAGAGAGAGAGAGAGTCTGGGAGCCAGTCTGTGCTGAAGACTAAGAAAAATGTCTTACTGGGAAGAACTTGATTTACGAATAAAGGAGCAGATGCTGCTGAAATCAGTGGGAATAAGCAGCACTTTTATGCTTGCAGGCCGCTCACCTTGGGGATGGGGGCAGCGGGGTGGATCCTAATACAAATGGGAAAAGGCGGAATTCCTTTTCCTGGCATCTCCTAGGGGTTCAGCTTCCTGCTATCTAGACTGCCTGCTCCAGTCCGGCTCCCCCTTCACACCACCCTGGAGTTTACCTCTGGAACAGGACAGAGGCAGCTAGCAAGTCATAACTGCCCCCAGATCCAATTCCTAAGGGTCCCTTCTAGGCCTGTTAGGGGTGCCTGGGGTGAGTCACACTTCACTGGGCTTCTTTCTATTTTAAACTATATTAAGGTGATATAAAATGAGTGTCAGAGAAGCTGGGGGGTGGGGTGGGATGGGAATGAATAGGGGTGGGGGAAGGTCATACACCAGGCTGCCAAGGCTGTAGAGTAGAAGATTGGAGGTTAATTGCTGGTAAAGTAGTCAAGGTAGTTTTCTCCTGAACTACTTGCTCCCAGTAGGGGGCCTCCGAAGCCTTGAGAATCCCCACCACTTCTTAGCTATGTGACCTTGGACAAATTACCTACTCTTGCTGTACCTCATTCTCTACCTGTTAAATGGAAACTCTAATACAGGTCCAAAAGCCAAAAAGTGTTGAGAACCAAAGCATTTGTTAATTAATTTGGAGGCTAAATTTGACCTAAACTGACATAAACCGTTTACAGTCTTTATTTAGACTACTTGTGATTATTTGTTTCACTAAAGCCACATTAATTAGTTTGTATGAGAGCTGCTTTAGACCCTCTTGGGGGTTATGTTATATAGATTACATACATGTGTTGCCTTGCTAAAATCCAAACAATTCTGAATTCTGAATCTGAGCTTGCTCCAAAGGCTTTAAATAAGGGATTTGGATCTACAGCACTTACTACCTAAAGTCATTGTGAGGATTAAAGGAATAATGTTACCAGTGTAACTGGCTAATTGTTAATATTAATAATAGGAAATAAGCAAAGGGGAGGCCAGATATTGTAAGCATGGTCATCTGCACAGCTTCACCAGGAAGCTGCAATTTCACACTTCCCAGGGGACCACTAGTCCATTCCTGGCAAATGCCTGGCGGAAGGGAAATGGGCACAGTGGGCCCATGCACAGTGAAGTAGGGGTGACATAGGGAAGGTGCTTGCCTGTCAGTCTAACCTGGGAACAAAGATCATTGGCTAGGAGGGTGGACCCCAAAGCAAGCCCACAAAAGGGTGGATCCACACACAAAGGAGTCTGCTCTCTTATTCCTCTTGCTTTGCTCCTGCTTCCTTGCACCGGCTTGTTCCAGGCCCTGTGCTGTACTGCCATGTGGCCCTAGAAGCTGCAAGGCCCATGGCCATGTGGACCCCACACACAATGGACTGCAGCTGGGAATACAAGCTAAGCTAGCCAGATGCTGGATTGGACTGTGCTTCAATATAGAAAAAAATCTCTGGGCAGTGGCTTTAAGCCTAGCTCTGCTGAAAGACAAAATGGGACTTTCTCCATGGCAGGACGGAGGGAGGGGGGGAACTTGGAAACACAAGGGTTTAATTCCATAGAAATAAAGCTTTTTCATTCTCCTGTGGAGGCTCTGGAAATTCTTGTTCCCATGGCACCTCAAGAGCTCCCCTTCTATCAGCAACAGATGGGGATGTGAAGGACATACCATTGATAACAATAATACCTGTAAAACGCTCAGAACAATGCCTGGTGTGGAGTGATAGGGTTAAAGCCCTCTCTGTTTCTAGCCTGATTAGTCCAGGGTAGTGTCTCCTTCCTCTCACACTT